GTCACTATGAGTCCGAATCCTCTGGACATCAATGGGATGGTGGGGGCAGGGGAGGGGGTGGGTCTTGCCTCCCCCCCTCCCCCCAAATTTTTAGAGGAGAGTAGCTAGACTCTTCTTCCCCAAGCCCCAGAGTCTTCACTCCCACCCCACCCACCACCCACCCACCACCCTGTCAAGCTCTGCCCTCTTGGTCACCTTCACTCCCGCCCCTGCCCCTCACCAAGACCTGCCTGTTCTCTTCCAGCCTTTAAGAAATACCTGCAGGAAACCTACTCAAAGCAAGTCTCCAGCCAAGAGCCCTGACCCTCCCTGTCCTTGCGTTGTGTTGTCTTCTCTTCCTAGATGTCTGTCCTCCCTCCCCTCCCCCTTGATTTCTGTGTAGAACTCTTATCTGAAGCTGTGGTGTCATTCCTGTTTTGTTTGTTTTTAAATTAAGTCTCCATTTGCACCCTTGTGATGATTATATTAAATAAATAACATTTGGGGTTGGTTTGGGTTTGAGTTCCGGTTTTTCTGTTTTCTTTCTTGCCTTTTGCAAGTTGCTGTAGGATTGGTGGAGAGGGGAGGGCAGGCCTGGGAGCTAGCTCTCCTGGCCCCGCCTCGAGAGAAGCGCGCGTGAAGCATGGGGGCCGAACAGAGGGGTGGCTGAGATTTGTTCCCTTGTGGCCTATTTACAGCTCTGCATCTGGTTGCTCATTTGTGAAATGGTGTCGCCATGGTGCCTATTTCTGTGGAGCTGTGAAGCGCACCAGGAATGGCAGCAGTTTGTCCCCATGTGCTGTAGGTCTGGCTGAAAGGGCAGTAGCTGTAGAAGGGGAGGTGGGGGGACTGGGTGCCCAACTTCTGACCCTGCAGGGCTTCTGGGCCTATGAAAGGAAGAGGCTCAGGCCACTAGGCAGCAGCCCCAGGGTGTAGGCATAGCCTGCTTCTGCTCCTTCCCTGGGGGAACCCGCAGGACTGGGCTCTGGGGTCCCAGGAGGCATGTTCACCTCCTGCTCCATCTTGCCCAAGAGCTCTGACAGCCCCTTGCGCCACCTTCCCACACATCCCTTGTACTTTGAGCCCCTGGGAGGAGACTCCAGTGTTGACCAGTGAAGCTCCAATGCGTGGGTATGGGGAAGGGCAGGCTGAGGTGATGGGCACAGCCCAGGTGGTGCAAGAGGCACTCAAAGGTAGACTAGCACAGCACCCAAGATGGCCAGGTCCCTGGCTTCGCACCCAAGCCAATCAGCCCTGCGGGCAGCTGGTTGTACGGGCCTGGGGGAAGGGAAGGGAGAAGATAGCATGGCCTCTGGTCAGGGAGGTTTCTACTC